AAAATTAACGTTAACGTAGTTTACGTTTACGTTAAAATTAACGTTAACGTATTTTACGTTAACGTTAAACGAAAATTAACGTTAATTAACGTTAAATCTGACAGCCCTAGTTTGAAGTACTATATACAATACACAAAGTTGCAAAACTAACTGTTTCACAATAGAAATTTTTCCGACTGTCTGAAAAGTCAAAATGTATGATTTGGTGAAATTGCCCCATCTTAAAAGTTAGTCAAAAGTAATATATTGCCCGAGCTTATGAAAAAAATTTTATACGAAAAAACTATAAAATATTCCCGAGAAAATTTTAGTAAAAAATTTGTTTCTAATGTGAAAAAGTATTTCTCAAAAAAAAAACAACATGTTGTCATCTTTCTTTTTAACGTTTACGCAATCACAAGAATTTTTTGGTAAAAAGTTATAAGAGATATTTTGACGAGTTGAGACTGTATTACAGTGTAATAAAAATATAAGTTGAATGATTGTGACAAGGCATACAATTTATGTATCTTTTTCATCTATAGTTTAGATCCGTATTTGAGTGTATCATTAAATTTTCACCATTAATACAGGAATAAGTAATAAAATATAGCTCAATAATGCGTTGGATTTCAGATATCCGTTATCATTGCGATAATATCCATTATAATTATACCCCGAACCATATGCATTGTTGTATGGATAACCGTAGTTATTGCTTTGACCATAGCTACCTCCATACGGATTATTTCCATATTGTCCCTGTCCATATATCGAAGATCCATAATATTGATTTGAATATGGATAACGGTTATACGTGTTAGCCCATCCTTGATTTTGATAGCCCATTTGTCGACGACGCCTTAAACGTCCTCCATCTAGAGTAAAATAAGTATTTCTCTTTATATCTCACATAATTTAGCCTGTTTCAAGTATTTGCGGAATCATCTTCTCTGCTTTTAGTGCTTAACAAAATTTTTAAAACAAAATTCATCTTCTCGTAGAGAAAAGAAAGACTTGATAATGATACGTACCAGATAATTGACAACTAATCATTAAAAACACGAATAATGCTGCAGTCCACATGGTTAAAACGATAAAATCGCTTCTCTTTTTTTTGTACAGTAATAATATGAATCAGTTATTAAACGATTGTCTAACGTATTCAATTTTTTTGTTATTATTAAATGAATTTTAGTTTCTGCTTCCGAAGAGAGAAAAAAAGTTTTTTTTTTTTTTCATTTATATTATATCGAACTCTGTTTTCGTACCATTTCCTTTTTCATTTATATTATGCCATTTTCACCTTTACGTATATGTTAATACAACAGAACACTTTTTTCATCTCTCTCTTTCTCTCTCTTTCTCTCGTTCGCTGTTACTAACTTTACTTTCAACGTTGTATAACTATATTTTAAAATAAAAAAATTATAACATGTTTTATAATCAGAAAATAATTATATGCATAAAAGAAAAAAAATGTCATTCAAGGTTATAAATCTTTAAAAAAAAGTAATGATTTTCATTTCTCATTTTCTGATTGATTCCCACAAAGAACGAATGTACTTTAGTGAGAACAAAAAGAAATGAAACAATAAGTTCAATCACATGTTTCTACGGAGAAATTTGTTTAAAATGAACAAACTGTTGCACAACACATATTTTCATAACCTGATGTTTTTCTCTTCCAGTTGTGAAAACACTACACAAAACACTTCGTAATAATTTCAATACACCTGTATACCAAGTGGTAGTTTTCAATTCGTAGCTAAAACGAACAGAATAATTATAGAATTTATTATTGTCACTAATTTCTTCGAACTTTTATGAGCGTTTCTTTCGACAGTGTCTGTACTAGTCAAAAGCGCCGCATACCGTACCGTCCATAAACGCCATCTATGAAGACTTATAGAGTGCATACTTTGTAGAAAATGTTAAAGGTTTATTGCTTCAAAATCCTTTATTCATTGAAATATAAAAAATAAACAATCCCACTGAGGAAGGAGTAGGTCTACGTTTTGATTCGCTAGTATAATAGGCAATAAAATCATAACTGGGATTTGTCCCTTTCTATAAACTGAAGCTCTTGCATGCAAACATAGTATGCAATACATCGCGAAAATAAAAAGTCATCTACGTAAAGCATAACTGTTACATATATCTTGCATTCTCTAACCGGATATAATCAAGCACGTCACACTTTTATCGCTGATTACTACATTTTATTGTTATATTTGGATAAAAATATTCCAGAATACTGCTTTTCTCCTGGTTTCCACAACGAACGTTTATCAAAGAAGCAGCCAGATACTGGTTTCATACTGTAAAAGAACGTAAAGTCTGAGCTCACTCTTTTTAATAGTGTACAGGTCACACTCATACATTTCTAACGGATGAGTCGAAAGTTTCCGGAAAAATATTTGTTCATTTTTGACCCGCTTGAAAGTATTTCAGACGGGTCAAAAACTATGGGTTAGGACCAGACTTTGATGCTCTTTCCGAATATGGGCTCAGAGAAATTTTTTATCCAATTTTGCTCCAGAGTAGTGAGGAAATCTTTGACAGGTTTAAAAGATTAGTTTGAACGGAACGGATGGGCCGAAGTTTCTGAACAAAATATTTGTTTATTTTGGCCTGCTTGAAAGTATTTCATATGAGGTTAAAACTATGGGCTAGAAACAGATTTTTGTGCCATTTCTAAATATGTGCTTAGAAATTTTGTGCCTGCTTTTATTCGAGAGTAGTGATGGAATCTTTACAAGGCCTAAAAAATTAGTTTGGACGACGAACAGCAGGTTTTTGCTAACCCCTATACGTCCCTTTGCAAAGATGCTAAAAATTGTCCGATTCAGGAGCTTTTTAGAGCAAACAATTCTTTACAAAATGTGACCTTGAACTAAGCTGTAGCTTTTATTTAAGTGATGCTGTAGACATTTTGCCAGGAGCTTATTACTATGTAAAACGGTTTTGATGAAAAAGTCGATTTTTCAAAAATGAGGGTGTAAGAAAAACGAAAATTGAGATGCCTTGCTGGTAGACAAAAACTAACTCAAATAGTAAATTTTGTAGGACAGATTTTGCTTGACAAGCTGATATATTAATAAACGTTCCAAATTTTAGTTTCGGATCCCAATAATGAAAATATGAAAATGTATGGAAAAAATTTCCGTCCAAACTAATTTTTTAGACCTATCAAAGATTTCCTCACTACTCTGGAGCAAAATTAGACAAAAGATTTCTGAGCCAATATTCGGAAAGAGCATCAAATTCTGGTCCTAACCCATAGCTTTTGACTCGTCTGAAATACATTCAAGCGGGTCAAAAATGAATAAACATTTTGTCCGGAAACTTTCGACTCACCCGTTATTATGCACACTCAGAGGAGTTTCTTGGCGATGGCATGGGGTAATAGTAAAATATGAAGACAGAACACAGATAGCATAGAGACAGCCACAGACATCCATGGATATTGAATGTCTGTGTAGTTAGTTATTTTTGGTTGTCTGTGGGTGTCTTCATATTTTACTATTACCCAACAGACAAGTCTAATTCGGAAGAGTTTCGCAACTAGCACGAAATGTGGGCTCTTTTGTTCAGTATTATGAAGCGTTAAAGTCCAACAGCAAGCCAACTTATAAAAATAAGAAAGTTCAGAGATACACCAATTACAAGATACAGAAAACAATAAGAAAGAACAAGGAAATAATAAATGACGAAATCCGTCTTCATGAAATAAAGAGTAGTTTTCATTTTTTTCAAGGTATTGATTAATTGAAATTAGAATTGTATTGATAATATACCTACAAAAGATTATTCGCGACATCATATTGTTTCATTCGCACATCCTATATAGTAAATACAGAGGAACATCTTATTTGTTTTGTGAAACCTTTCAAGGTTTTCCTTCGTCAGAAGAAAAAATAAGTTTAAAGAGATGTTGGGGGACAAAATGGCTGTTTTTGCACTGTCTGTTATGTATATCTAGGAAGAAAGTTTTTTTCGGTTAACGACTGTTTTTTGACGGCCATATATTCAGTATGTGTATTTTAAGATAATCTGCAGCATTGTTTATTCTGCCTTTTTATGCTGTATATCTTTTGTGGAGCTATGTAAGATCTTATCCCTTATATTCAAAATATGCCGATTTTGAAAACTAGCCGGCAAACTATAGAATTTTACGCATAGATGAACCGGCTATCTCATTGCGATCTACTTTATATAGGTTATTTTTTCCGTGTCAAATCGTACGTACTTTGAAAGAAAGTGCTATCGTACGTACTCTGAAAGAAGCAAAATGGGCTTAAAACAATCTTTCTTTCCTCACTACCTTACATACTTCATAAGTTTTCTAAATCCGTTGTCATAACGTTGTTTCGTCAGCCTAATTTTGTATCAATTAGACATAAAAGGGACGGAAAGGTTTAGTTTTACTCTGTCTTTTTGAAAAAAGTGTCAGATTTTATTGGACATTAATATGGTGAGAAAGCAATGATTGGTTTCTCGTTGTATAATTATGTTGTTTTTTTCTTTCTGAATGATTGTATCTCGATGAGAACATGATTATTCTTTTAAGTATGACGGAATATTTACGTATTGTAGTGAAAGCATTTCCCTATAAGCATGTTTACATCAATCTGCGAATGAAAGAAAAGGTAACAAAAATATATTCGTCATATGAAAACTTGTTTTCTTTCAATAACTTTTCTTTTACATTTTATATCTATAGTTAAACATTCCAGTAAAACTACAGACTTTTCACTGCTGTTAAGACAAGATTGCTAGTAATAAGAGTTGATTCTGGTTTATCTTTAGTTAAACATTTATATTGGATTATTAAGAATTTATGCTATAGAATTTTGGTCAGTATTAAAGTGACATTTATACACTTATAAAATGCGTACATGGTGTCGAGTGCCCCGCCGCAATTATCATCATTGCAGTTAGATATATTCATAGTAAAATCAGATGTGTAATCGATGAAAAAATCTATATCGAATGGCATACATGTCAAACATATTCAGAGCAAAAATAATTTGTCGGTTGTTTTTCTCTTCAGGTAATTTCGTTGAAAAAGTTTTGTTAGCAGTTTCAATAGCATGAAGATGCTGGTCCTATAAATGTCAGCGTGTCAAGTTCCTATAAAATTTTAAAAAATATATTGTTGATCATAATCTCATGATCTTTCTTTTAAAAAATATCCCGAAAGGACCAGTTCGCGTAACATTTAAAATCAGCCCACTGCCTTTTATTGCTTCAATGTATCCAGAATTATTCAAAATCATCTTATTCAATGATTTCGACCTTTTGGAACGAATCCGATTGGACGTATCCAACGAAATCTACACTATTAGTACGACCGTAAAACGCCCGGGCGTCTGGCCGCGGCCTCGGTGAATTAAATGCTTCACCGCTAGAATCTATCAGAACTTGCATATTCTTTTTTGTTTCAATAACTTCTACGAAAGATAGGTATGACATGTGTTTTAAGGTTTTGTTTGTTCTTCCATGACCTTTAAGCAGCCGATTGTACGTGAGAAGCTCTGGAAATTATTTATTTCTTCTTGTACGTTGGCACAAATAGGCACAGTCAAGACTTTATGAAACATATCGTAAATCTGATGCGTTCTAATCTGATAGGTATTAGTGGCGAAGTATTTAATTTACCGATTATATTGTTTTTTCACATAGACTGGAAAAAATTCTCTTTCCATTCTTTCACGTCATATTACCTTTTTTGTTACTTAAAATATGATATCATTTAAGATTTTAAAACGAAAAACACACACGTTTTAAAAGAGATAAAGATCTAGAAAGAATGTATTCGAATGATATAACAGGTGGTCACTCGACAACAAGAGGACGAGGAATTACAAGACGTGTTAATGGGAATCCAATTCAACATCAATATCAGTATAATTCATCATCACAAGAAGAAACAGGTAAGTTGAAAACAAACATTTTCTACTTTTCAAGAGTCATTGTTGTATAGAAGAATAGAATCATTATCTACTGGGTATGCAGCATGGTTCTTATGATAAAGTCAAATTTATAGCAAGATCTGTATAAACGTTTACTACAGGTCCTATAATAATATATCCGCCTTGAAAAAAATACTTTCAGTTGTGTTTTTAAATTTATTATGAATATACAAAAACATTTTAGAAAAATAATTATATATTCTGGTAGCCCTTGAAATTCTCAATTAGTCTCTTTTTCCCCAGTCTGGATTCGAAATTATTTGCTAGTAAAAGTTCTGAATATTGCTAATGCCACACTGTAAAAAATAATGCGTCCTTTGACGACATATTTTTTTATACATGAAATGGACACATTTTTTTTGTTCTATCGGTAATGTGTCCATGCGTCGCTATTTCCGACACAAAATGTGTCTCTAGTAATGATGTACAAAATGTATCGGTATCTAGGATACATTTTGTGTCGCAAATAGTGACGCATGGACTAGACATGTGTAGTAACGGTAAAAACGTGTTACCGTTACCGACGCTTCGGTAACAACTTCAAATTTTTACCGCGGTAATTTGAAACCGGCTATTTTTCTCGTGTTTCTTTAGGACCTAAAGATTAATGTGTTTTTTAAAAGATGCGTCCCGAAATACTCTACAAAACCATACCTACACTTTAATTTCAGAACTTCAATGAAGAAAACTACGCAGATTATACAAAAGTCGAAAAAAACCAAAGCTTTGTAAAATCAAAAACGATCTCATTAACATTTTGAAAGTAAGAAAAAGTGAATTAGCCATTTTGTAGCCACGATTTCGCTTTATCTTTTAACTACACTTCACATATTTTCACATCAAAACCCATCGAAAAATAATGATTTTTCTATCTATTGTCATCCAATTTTTCATTAATTTTTAAAATGCTATGTATAGTGGTGCTTTTAGTAAGAGTCTCATAACTCTATCAAAACAAAAGATTTTTCGATCAGATTTGTTTTATTTTGATTAGAAATGATTACTCTTCTCTACTTAACTGCAAAATCAAAACTTCGATAATGTTTTCGTTTCTTGCTTCGGCACACTGTTGGGAACTGGGCGGAGGGGGAGAAGTTGTCAATTTTCGACGTATCTTTGAAACTTCGTTCTCGACGTTGTTGAGTATTTTGTTTTTAAAGGTTTTTGTTTTATAATGTGATTGAATAAAAATATTTATTTGGTTAAGATGTTAAATTCATTTTTATCTGATCTTGCGAGTCCTATTAATTTGTTTTGTGACCACAGCATCTGTTCTAAAAGACCTTTTTTATCGACCACGAGAAAGAGCACATTCAAAAGCACAAAAAGAACTGAGTTTTCACTTCTGCAACCCTTTTTTATGAAAATAATAGCAGAGGAAAAAATACCAGATTTTCAAATTTTTCATTTTTTTCGTCTTTCGTATAATCTGCATAGTTTTCTTCATTGAAGTTCTGAAATTAAAGTTTAGGTGTGGTTTTGTAGAGTATTTCGCGGCGCGTCTTTTTAAAAACACATTAACCAACGTTAACCTTTAGGTCCTAAAGAAATAGAAAATATTGAGAGCCCGTGCCCGTTGCAATTCTGGGAAATGTGACAGGTGGGACGCATGAACAATATTCAAAATTTCTGCTAGCAAATAATTTCGAATCTACACTGGGAAAAAAGAGACTAATGGTGAATTTCAGGGACTACCAGAATATATAATTATTTTTTCTGAAATATGTTCGTATATTCATAATAAATTCAAAAACACGACTGAAACTATTTTTTCTAGGCGGATATATGTATCCTTATTTTCTAATATTAATCTCGTGTGTCGAACCACTAAATGTCTTTTGTTTATTATGTTTAGATGATGTTTCCTTATCTCATACATCGAATATTACGAAGAATGGAATGAAAAAGTGTGTTAGTTGTTCAGTATTAGTTCCAGAATCTGATCAGCGTCAGCATTTATTAAATTGTACTGGGAGTAGTAGTGTTCGTGAGAACAAGAAACGCTGTATACAATGTGAGCAATTATTTGATATATCTGAATTTGCATCTCATATGGCACAATGTGATGGGCGAGATACATCAATAACAGCGTCCAATCAAAAGTTAAAAACATGTGCGTGACATTGTACACTTTATTGCATCCAAATGTTTATTTTAAATCTGTTAATGTGTACTATTTTAGGTCCAATGTGTTCAAAGTCCGTTGAAAATCTACAACAACACGCTAGCACATGTAATGGTGATACTGAAAAACCACAATATCATGAACGAGATACATCACCACCAGCATTCAACAAAAAATTAAAAATATGTGCGTGACATTGTACATTTTATTGCATCCAAATGTTTAGTTTAAATCTGTTAATGTGTACTATTTTAGGTCCAATGTGTTCAAGGTCCGTTGAAAATCTACAACAACACGCTAGCATATGCAGTGGCGATTCTGAAAAACCACAATATCATGAACGAGATACATCACCATCAGCATCCAACAAAAAGTTAAAAATATGTGCGTGACATTGTACACTTTATTGTACCTCCAAATGTTTAGTTTAAATCTGTTAATGTGTACTATTTTAGGTCCAATGTGTTCAAGGTCCGTTGAAAATCTACAACAACACGCTAGCGTATGCAGTGGCGATTCTGAAAAACCACAATATCATGAACGAGATACATCACCATCAGCGTCCAACAAAAAGTTAAAAATATGTGCGTGACATTGTACATTTTATTGCATCCAAATGTTTAGTTTAAATCTGTTAATGTGTGCTATTTTAGGTCCAATATGTTCAAGGTCCGGTGAAAACCT